TTTCCCTTACCCTTTCTTTCCATCAAGTGGCATATCTAGCGGAATTTGATTGAGTTGTCTACTGGGGTAAATAGTGTTTAGAACATGGAGCTTCTTATGGTTCAAATAATTTAATTGAATTTGTTATCCCTTTCATTGTGAAGTTTTGCCCTAACTACCGTCCCCATCCATATGTATCAATGCGGCGCCCCCCCAAAACAAACTCGGAATAAGCGCCAATGGGGGATTCAACGGTCAGAAAATAACTTCAAAAAAAAAAAAAGAAAAAAAAAAAAAAGGAAAGAAAGAAAGAAAAGAAAGAAAAAGAAAAAGGTAAAAAGAAAATTCTGTTCTTTCCACAAGCCCAAACATACACCCTATCCACTCAGCCCACTACATCCACATCCACATCCACCCCGCCGTCCTCTCCCGCCTCATTCTCCCCAACGATAACCTCAACTTCCTCCAGACCGCTATCTTCAAACATAGCATCGAGCCACTTCAACATACCACCCCAAGCCCTAGGCATAATTGATTCGACATTCAGCGCCTCCCCGGAAGAATAGCAATTGCAACCGAACTGGTAGCGGCCAGCGACTGGCGTGTTGAGCGGTTTTTCAGAGAGTAAGTAGGCGCGACTGCGCGTGGACATGAAGTTGGCGAAATCTGGTGGGTGTAGGTGGTTTGTGTCGTGGAGGGGGTTGCTGAGGCAGAGGGAGGAGATGCGGGGTTTCCAGGCTGTCCCTGTGCTGCTTGTTAAGGCCGGCGTTGGATTGAAAAGTGGGGTCCGTCATAGGATATATATATATATATATATATGTTTACGCGAAACATAAAACTTACAATGTTCTGCCAAATATCTCACGGCGCCCAAACCCCCCTCCGCCAGCCCAATGATATCGATCCTCACATCCGGCGCGGCAAGTTTCCCCAGCACCTCCTCAAAGACATAAGTAATGTGATCCTGCCATGTCTCGTTACCGGGGATTTTATTCCGGAACGTCATCCGCATAGGCGGCTCCACGGCGCTGCGTCGAGGAAGTGCATGCCACATTGGCAGCGACATAGCCTGCTCTTTGGCGCAGTGCCATACCAGCTGCCCTGGATTTGCCAGAATAAACCCAGTTCCTGCAGGGAAGCTAGAGCTGTTATCCTGGTGTTGGTTATTATTTGCGTTAATAATGTTAGTGTCGATTGTCTGGCGCCCAGAGTCCCTCGGGCAGATGTTATTGCCTAGGATCGCAGCTGCAAAGTTTACAGCGGAGCCAATATTGATACCCTCCTTGCCGATGACGCGATACGCCCAGATGCCCAGGTCTTGGGTTGGCTCGCCAAACACGACGATGAGACGGGGTTGGGACTGGAAGCCTGGGGATGTCAGGATAGGCACATGCTGAGAGTTTGCGGCAGCGCCAATTGGGAGACGGAGGGTCTCAAGGCCCAGATTGAGCAGACGGGAAGCGACGATGTGTCGGATACATGCTAATTATTTTCCGAAAAAAATTAAATAATCGTTTCATGGAGTCAGCGATGTATACAGTTTGACACACGCAGTGTAGCTTCTCCGTTGTTTTTTGCATGAAAACATGCAAATGCGAGGAATACAGCAGTAGCGGAAAAATAAGTAGAGATATATATACTATTCATAGCTTCTTTCTGCATTTCATTGTAGCGGTCATTAGTATTTATTTTGAAGACAAAGTCCTCTTCTGGGTTCGAAATCTTCTTGATCTGGTCCTGATCGTTGATGAAGTAGCTGTTCGAGGGCTTCATCTTAGCTCAATGAACTGTAAAATTTCTATGGAAACGGACTAAGAACCATGATCAAGTTCTCAAGTGGAGCATACCCGAGCTGCTTCAAATCAGCAGGAAAGAGTGGG